CTGCTGAAATTTCAAAAGAAAACACAAAATGAAAATGAACCCATTTCAATGCTGGAAAGCCAAGAGGGGTACTATCAGCAGCTAAGAACATGAGCTTTTGGATGATATACAGCAGACGGTAACACAGTGGCAGCTGGAGAATCTACAACCTACACAGGTAGAAGAGAAGACCACACTTCCTACCTGCAAATCTTGAGTTTTATCAGAAGTGCACCTAGAACAATGTCTAGATCTAAGCAAAGAAAGGCTGGGAGAAGAGATTGTAGGTGATCAGTCAGAAAATTAATGCTGGAACAGCTGGATTGGTATTCTGTCATCTGCCATTGGAGAGAGGACTCCAAGTACAGCTCTCTAAAGTGGGAATTCTGATAAGCAAGGTCCTAGAGTGGATATCTGGGCCAGGAAGTGCAACAGTGCCCCAGGTGACTCACAGACACCAGGGCACTGGCTTTCTCTGCCCTGTGAACAGAAATTCTCACGTGAACTAAGGAAATACACTCCAGCTACCAAAATTATTCAATCTATACCTTCATTTACACAGCTTTTAAATAATTCAACATCATGAAAGAGAGGCCTTAAACTAAAAAAAACAGATGAATTAATCCCTGAGGTAACAGGTAATAGGGGAAAGTTAAAAACATTTTTTTTCTGAAGTTTCTCCCTAGGCCTCCAGCCTCCATCTGCAAAGAACAAGAGCAGTCCAGATTGAATGCAGCAGTACATCCAGTGTCTACTTCTAACTGATAAGCCAGACCCATCCTCCCCAGCAATCATCTTGGCACCATCTAATCCTGGGTGGGGGGTGCCTTGTAGCATAGGAAAGTGGAGATCATTGCCACAATGGTCAGGAAATGGGGCCACTTCAAGCTGTGTTGTCTGTCTTGACATGGGACAATTTATTTGTGATGCTCCAAAGAGTCAAGTTACAATGAACCTTACAAAGACATTTTTTAATGCCAAATGTCTGATTGGATGCATTTTTGATAATGCAGTCATATATGAAGCACTGGTGTTTTATGATGGTAAATCACCCAGGTGAAATATAAAAGGAAAACTAAAAGCTTCTTATTGAAGGTACAGCTGCCATATGATCTAGCAATTTCACTCCTAGGTATATATCCAAGAGAACTGTCACTCATTCTATGGGACACACCCTATACCTTATCAATAACAACAACTCAAGCACTGCATTATCCTATTTTTTAAGCATTTCTATCTCTGATCATAATTTCCTTTCTTTCATTCCCACCAGTACCTCCATTCCAGTGCCATCTTAGGCACTACAACATTCAGGGCAAAAGAGGCTCCAGTAAGCAAGAACAGTCTATAAAAGAGCCATAGGTGCTGGCTACTGGAAGCAGAAGCCACCAAACCAGGGTGTACATGGAAACAGTAAAAAGGAATCCAAGAGAATCTGGGCAAAGTATCAACAATATCTACTAAAATAACTACTCTTGCTTCAAATTCATGACTATGAACCTCAAAGTGAACACTGCCAGCAATCATAATATACTTCCTTGGCCTGTTCATTCTCCCATGCTCTTGTATGACTATTTCACAATTCCTCCTCTTTCTTCAAACCTCCAACACTTTTCCCACCATCTTCACTCTCAGCTGATTACCTAGTTTCCTATTTCACAGAGAAAATAGGAGCAATCAGGTGAGAACTTCCACAAGCTTACACTACCATATCTACTGCATAGAAGCACCTGTACCCATATACTCTTCTTCCCTACAGAGTCTGTAGAAGAATGTCTACATTCCTATCTAAGGACAATCCCTTCTCTTGTGAATTAGATCCCATCCTATTCTTGTCCACTCAAGGACTTCGTTCTAGCCCTCTCTCCTACACAAATTTTTCTGTCTGTTCTGGATCACTGCCATCAGCATATAAACATGCTGCCTTTTTCTTTTTTTTTAAAGACTTCTCTTGACCCCACTTCCCCCTCTACGAAAGACATTTATTTCTGCCTTTGTAGAAAAATTCAAGAGTTGTTTATATTCCTTGCTCCAATTCCTCTCCTCCTATTTTGTCTTGAACCCATTTCAATCAAGCTTTCATTCCTATCTTTCCACTGAAATTACTTTTTCAAGGTCACTAATACTGCTATGGTATCAGACCATGGTTCTCCCCAACTCGCTGGCCACTCCTTCTGAGACTCCTTTGCAGGTTCTGCCTTAATTCTTTAACTTCTTATATTGGGATGCCTGGGAATAAGTTCATAGACCTTCTGTATCTTCATGTAGACTCAGCATCTAGGTAAGATCTCATGGCTTTAAACACCCTCTCTATCTCAATGACTCCCAAATGTAAATGTTTAGTTTAGATCTCTGCCCTGACTTCTGGACCCATATATCTGCCTGCTTACTATACATATCCACTCCAAAAGGCATCTTGAAAGTTAACATTGCAAAACTGAGTTCCTGATATTTGCCTTCCCGTCTGATTGTCTACAGTCATCTCTACTTCATGATAACTCCATCCTTTCAGTTGCCAAGACAAAAATGGAACACTATTTGTCTCCTCTTCTTTTTCTTTCATACCCCACATCTGATCAGTCAGTAAATTCTTCAAAATAAATCCAGAATATGAGCACTTTGCACCTATCCTACACTACTACCCTTGTCCATACCACTAATTGCTCTGTACTAGGTCATTGCAATACACTCCAAACTGGTCTCCCTGTATTTGCCTCCTTCAGTCAACACAATAGGCAAAGAGATTCTGTTTAAAAAGACAAATCAGGGCTTCCCTGGTGGCACAGTGGTTGAGAGTCCACCTGCCAATGCAGGGGACACGGGTTCGTGCCCCTGTCTGGGAAGATCCCACATGCTGCGGAGCAGCTGGGCCCGTGAGCCATGGCTGCTGAGCCTGCGCGTCCGGAGCCTGTGCTCCGCAACAGGAGAGGCCATAACAGTGAGAGGCCCGCGTACTGCAAAAAAAAAAGACAAATCACTTCCCTCCTCTGGCCCCAAATCCCTAATCTCTCACCATTTCAACTAACGTAAAGGCCAAAGCCCTTATAACAGCCAACAGAATTCCTGTTGCTCTTGCTTACACAACTCCAGGCACATTGGTTTGTAGTCTCTCCACCCACTGGAGAGCCCTTGC